AGAAGCTCATATCCATTAACCCTGAATTTGTCCAATAGTGCACCGGTGTGTTGATCAAAGGAACAACAACAACAACAACAACAAAAAATCAACTGTTTATTGTTATCATGATTTGAAGAAGTGATGTGTTTCATATGCGCTTTTCTAAAATTAATTAGTCGCCTGACAATATCAATTAGCTCGACAGACATTCTTCGTTGAGGTTTATTGAATTGACTTGCTTTCAGATGGGCTGTGCGTGTATCTAATTGTTCAACATTCATATAAATAAACCACTCCCTTAGCTAAATACTTTTTATGCCTATCGCATAGATTTTTTTCTCGTCATTCCTCCAACGAAATGAAAAAAGAAAAATACAAAATGATGCATTCAAATCAATTGTTAAATAATATTACGGTCATTTGAGTCATTTGAATTCAAATAGTTTTAATTTCTAATGTCACCAACAGCATTATCTAAAAAAAAATTAAATATGAGGAAAATTGTGTAGTTTCTTGTTTGTTAATTTCATAGATATTTTGTTTTAGTTGGTGCGTATATAATTCAGCGATGTCACAACAATTGAAAACTGAATAGAATTTTCTTGTGTCACATTCGCTCAATTACATTCGATCGATAGGCATTGAGCCAACAACGAAAGTAGAAAATGTCTATTTTAAATAATTGCACGCACGCTGTGTAAGCTCAAACTGATTTCAAACTAACATTTTACCAATCTGCATGTCCATCAAATCAAAATACTGTTTAATGTGATGCGGTGGTGTGTTTCGGTTTATTTTGGATTGACCTAACAGTTATACATTTGCGTAAAATACTAAATGGAAAAGGTTGGAATTTACACGCGTTCGTTGTAGTTAAAATAATGTTCGCATTTGTGCACCATAAGATGCTTCAAAAAGTAATTCCGAAAATGGCATGAAAATTGACTGTCGAATGCATCACACAGTCATAATGCCCCATTCACTAAACCCACCCCATACCTCTCTTCCTCTTTGCGTTTTCAGTCATTAAGTAACATTTCAAATGCTGAAAATTATCCACAAAGCACCATAAAAACAGACCATCAACATAATGTAAATAAAACGCAAGGAACAACGAAATAGGTGTGGAAGGAACGTTAAAACCTCTCACAGTTTTGGGCGTAAAAATATAATTCCATTTCACAAACGGAAAACATAGAAGAAATAACATAAAACGAGAAATCACACAGACAACTAAAACAAATCACGGTGGACAGCAATCGTACGTTGCCCTTCGTTGAATTTGAATACACTGTTTTATTCTTTAAATATAGTCAGCATGAGTAGAATCATTGACGATCAAATTGGGTAGCAGTCATTGAAGCGTACCGCTTTCCCCTTTTCCAACCACTCGACAAATATATTTCGTATCATGTTTACTATGTATGGCTTTCCATGTTTACAAACCATCACTTTGAGTGAATCATTTGAAGAAAGAGAAAAAAAGCATATCATCTTGCTTATTTTACATTTTTTTTTCGATTTTTTTTTAATTTTTGATTCACAGAGAAAATATAATGTAAAAGATGTTATCCCCTTGCTGTTTTTCTTCCTTCTTTTTTTGCCACTCTATCGTTTTGTTATTATTTTTTATGACTTTTGATATAACGCGCCCTTTCGATGATTACGTACCGCGTACACATTTGACACGTCGTCTATTTTGCCCATGATATAAAAGAAAATTAGGAGTGATAACACGAAGATGATAATGCAAATGGGAAAGAGAGAAAAAGGAAAATCATTTAACCTAATCAGAAAATATGTTAGAAACCAATAAAACTGAAATAACGGCCATAAAATGCTTCTTCTAACGTTTAGTGTATCTACTTTATAATTGATTCATTTTCATTGTGACAGAGGAATGAGAAAAATGGAGCAATTTGTATTCCATACATCAGCCATTCATTCATTTCATGAATCACGTTTGTGTGCTTACAATCGAAATATCTAGAAAAATTTCGAATTCTGTTCGTTGTACGTCTGCAAATCACAATTAGAATAAAATTGGATTTCGATTTCTATGCTCTGCACTCGATTTTTAATTAAGTCGTTGAATGTATCGAACAGTTTGGTTTCTGATTCGCTCAAGAAACATGATTAATTAATCAAAAACATATCCGATTCAAATCTGAATACACCGACACATGCATGCAACGATGAAATCACGAAAACCAATTCGTAAAATATCATTGCAAAGAACTTAAAAATTAAAATTGTTTATTGTTTTATATGTTTTGTACACATACATAGGTATTCATTATTTGTGCTATTGCATTGCATACCGGTCACGCAGAAGCAGTCATTCCTCAGTCTGAGTAGTTGCTGATTCTTTTTTTTTGTGTTCATTCTTGTTGTCTCTGTTTCGTCGTTCAACCATCGATCTGAACGATGCTATCTTGCTAAAAGAATATGGATCTTGTCGAAGCGTCGACAACAGGTCCAAAACATGAAATTCATCTGAACGCATAGTTGGTTTACCTTCCAACCGCTACCGAATCGAAAATTCATGCACACGTTTATCATGTATATGTTTGTTTATGCGCCTGTGGAAATGTGCAAGTGAACGCGTGTCGAAAGTCATTTCACTGAACGAAATTTCACTATAAGTTTAATCGACCGACACATAATCTTTGCCAGCATTTTTTATCACATTCATTGCTTGCTTACACTCATATACAGCACATTTTCTTTTGCTTTTGCTACATTCAAGTCTTTGCAATGCGCAATGTACACGACCATCCAGCTTATGAATGGATAAATAAAATGAATGTCAACGAATTATTTATGCATGCATATGAAAAGCAAAAGCATCAAGTAAAAGTGAAGCCAAATCGACAAAAAGTCCACATACTCAACGCGTTACAAAAAAGAAAGAGAAAGACACTAGAAGGCCGCAGTTGACACTGTACAAATAATGAAAAAAAAAAAAAAACAGTGTGGAAGTATAGATGCTTGGTGGAGTATGAATGTGCTTGCATATAAGGTGAAAAGGGGGACAGACGCGTTCGTTCAATTACATAGAGAGTAACTGTGTGGTTTTCGTTTGGGCATCAATTCTGTCAACGGTGAATCGTTGTTGTTGTTGTTGTTTTTTTCGGTCGATTTCCAGCAAAACGTGCTATTGTTGTTGTTGCCTCCCATGTTTTGTTAAATATTGCATGTTTATGCACTTGACGATTTCGTGCTTGAAAATGGAATTCTCGCATTTGCATTTTATTAATCATTTTGCGATTGAGCGTCATCCTCATCAAACACGGAAATGAGAAATAACACCAGAGATAGATAGAGAGAGAGAGAAGTGATTTCAATAAAAACTAATAATTCCACACAATATTATCAACAGTACAATCGAGCATTTGAATCGATCGCAAAATAATCACATCAATATAATGAATAATACAATAAATTAACACATCAACTAAATTTCTCCAATGACAACAGACACAGCAAACGAAATTTAAATACCTTCGTATGTACTTTTTTATATCAATAAAACACTAAGAAATTTATTTGATTCGCATTTGACATACAATTTACATTTTTGTCGCATCAAATATTAATTTATTTAATACCCATTGAAACGATTTTATTGTTAAATTAAATTTATATTCAATTTTAATGGTAGTCAACTTGCAAATTAGTCGTAAAAGGATTTTTTTTATGTCATCCCGAGCTGGTATCTTCATAATCTGATTCGAATTATTTGTAATAAAAACACCAATCCACTTTGGAAAAAAAGAGTGTGAAAAATCAAATCCGAACACCATTAAAACCGAAACATCGAGCATTTAAATCTTCGTGAATGTTCTTCATTTATACTGCAAATATTTACAACCATTTTCATTTGATTGAATGACCAATGAAGTGTAAATAATCTAGACTATCGCCCCCATAATTAAATTGAATTAACAGCAATGTACAATTTTTAATGAAGAATAAACAATAGCTACAAATTGTTTCGATTACTATATAGAAGAGACTGTCAATTGGATTTTTTCAAAATGTTCGTGCCACATTGTTTTGTAAGTTTGACATGTAAAAAAAGCCGAAAAAAGCTTGCCGGATGAATTTCGGGGGAAAAGATTAAAATTTACATATTGTACAATTGATGCCAGTATTTCAAAATCAGAAAGCTGTTTGACACTTTCCAAAAGGAATTTTGGCCACTTAAGCAAAGTGTAAATGCATACATTTCTGCATATGCGTATGCACTGCGTCAAGCGCATTAACACTTACAACCATCGAAATAGTTTTACGTGTAAGAGAAGTATTCTGGGTTCATTTCGCACTGGTCGACAGCTCTGTGTGGCGGCTCATGTTATTGTTTTTGTCTTTTTCATCTCCGTGTTCGCCTATTGATGCAGCAGTCGACACTTGCTTGCTTATATTCAGTGCAAAACATTATTACCAGACTTATACATAGTAGTCCTCTTATGACCCTGAGCTAAAGATTTCACTGCGTTGTATATTCATCCAATCTACTATGGATCTCACGGGAAAAGTGATAAAACTAAGTCTATTTTGATTTTGTGAGTATAAGATAAAGATCATTCCTACTACATATATACAAAATAACATAACGTACCTTTCAATCCTCATGGCCGAAAGAAAAAAGTGAAGAAAAAATTAAATTTGCTTTTGAATTAATTTTTATTATCAGTTTTTGGTCATCTTAATTTCGTTTGATCTTCCAAAATTGTTAGTTTCACTAAATCATCCCAAATTTTGATTTTCGATATTCTTTCTCCATTACATTTCCAAATATATATATATATATGCGTTCAATTATAATAATAATAATTTTTATTTGTGAATATCATGATTTTCACAATTACATGTGATTTAGTGTGAAAATGGTACACGCTTTTTTTCGCTGTTAAAACGCAAAATTAAAACGAAAAAATTTTATTCGTTAAAATGCTTTGAAAAGATATGCACAAAACCGTAGTTTTTAACATTTTCTCATAAAAAATCCCAAAAAAGAACAATGTTGTTGCATTTTAATAAAAAATAAAGAAAAGAGAACCGTTTTTATTTCGCTTTAGCGTTTCATTAATATGTGTCCCATTTTCAGTCACACATATTCGTTTATATGTACTTGTATTACATTTTGACTAAAACATACTTAGACCTAGAAAAAATGTTACAATAAAAATAATTAACCATCTTGTTGTGTTTTTTGTTGTTGATTTTAGTATTCTATGTTAAGTTTTGTATATTGTTTTTATTTTCCGTTTTATTTTTTTCTGTTTGTCTTGTCTGTTGCATCTATTTACACAAACGGACAATGTTGCCGATATTTTACCAGATAATATATATTATATATTAAGATTGAGGCTGAAACGAATGTTTCACAAATTGTAATTAAAGGTCAAAAGCTCTTAGTGTGTTTTCCACTTGATTTAGCCAAACGAAAATAAACATTGATTGCATTTATGTTTCAATTTCACTCATCGTTCATTTCATTTTTTTGTTGTTTCTTTCTTTGGTTAAATATATTCAATAACTTATGATATTAATTATTTTCTGGGTCCGTAGATATGTAATATAATAAATTCCATTATTATTCATTGATATTAAAGAACTTCTTCATTCGTCAACGGCAATAACTTTGTTCTTAACTAGCGCTGAGGCAGAGAGAAATAATATTTTAATTGCAATTGGAAGAGTATAGAAAGCAAGCATTCGTAGAAAAGTATTTCTCTCTCTCTCTCTCTCTCTCTCTCTCTCTCTCTCTCTCTATGTATATTATAATAGAACCAATGCCGTTTGAAAAATGTATTGCTTTTCACCGAAGAATACAGTATCATAATACCATTTGAATGAGCAAATCTATGAATGTTCAAATTAATATGATATTTTGTACGTAAATTTTGCTGTAAAATTACCAGCAGCCAAAATGCATAGAGTCGTGAATGCACGAATTCGATTCACTTTTCAATTGCAATACAATTTTATTACAATATTCGCTCAACCAAAAATGTTCGGTTTCATTTAATGAGCAGCAGTTGGTGTTGATTTGATGTTGTGGCTACACATACACACCTCTATGTAATGGAGGAATGATAAAATAATGAGTTTTACACGAACAAAACTAAGATTACACTTTTATTTCTGTATCATTTCCAACATTTCCGATCGCTCAACATTTGGATGTGGAGAAACAAAAAAAAACAACACCGAAAAATAGTTGCATTGCTTCAGTCAATGTATTTCGACCGAAGAAGATTTCCATTGTTTTGCGATTTTTCAAAACAAAATTAACATTATATTTTAAAATAAGGAAAATTGCGAAAATATATTGATTATTTTTTCAGCATCTTGAGGATCTATATTTACTTTCCACAAATCAAAATTTAACATTTTCAAAGTTGATAAATGAGAATCATCAGATTTTACACAAGCGAGATTTTTCCTATACACCACGTGATTGAGCATTTATTTTATATCAGAATGCAGTTTTAAAAAGCAACCACGATAAATTGTAAGGTGAAACGATGAATGAAAATCTATTATAGTTGATTTGAGCTTCAGACACTAAATATTATTCAATGTTCCATGCGATTTGACTGAAGAGTTTTGTACAATTTTTAAAGTACAAATGAATCCATTGAAATATGAGGATAGGCTACCCCTCGGTTATAGAGAGAGAGAGAGAGAGAGAGAGAGAGAGAGAGAGAGAGAATGTATAGAAATAGAAGCAGTGAGAGAAATGAAAGTGCCAAAAGAGATGGGTAAACGGTCAAATATCGGTCAGTTGGTCATGCTGAGGGGTTCAGTAAGCACATAAATGCCTGAATATATAACCAAGTCAAAATGGCATACATCTTTAGATGAGGTCGGTCATTAACAAGAGTGAGTTCCGTCACATATATAGATTTTTAAAGTGGATTGTGTATTTTAAAGGTGATTAAAGGGAAAGTTTTACAGAGGATCCTGATTTTCCACGTTTCATAATACAAAATAACACAACATTGAAAAATAATTCGTTATCTCTTATTCGCATTGCAAAAGTAAACTACAAACAATCGAAATGTTCAATTTAATTGCAAAAAACTAGTTTACCCATATATTTAAGCCTATGAAAGATTACTATTTGCTCCAAAAAGGGAACATACTCTGCCATGTCCCTCATCGATTGAAATATTATGTATCAAATCATGTGTCGAGTTCATTTAGTCTGGTTAAAGAAAAATGCGACAAACAGCGTTACGAAGAATATTGTCTGAAGAAATTGAACGAAAAAAAAACACGAAGAATATAGAACACTAAGGTACATAAGCTCATGTGTGACATTCTTATTTGTCTAGAGATCAAAGCGAGGTCTTAATATTTGTCGCTCAAACGGGAAAAATCCAAACAAACTGCTGAGCTCCCTATGTCTTTCTCTCTCCCTCTTTCCGTACGTGTGTGTGTGCGTGTTTTTTTGTCGGTCTACTTTTCTCTTCTGCCATCATTCTCTTACAAAAATTGAAAATAGTTAAATTTTTACAAGATGGTTCTCGGCTGTTATTTGTCAATGAATCCCTTTTGGTTTAAGAATTGCCTCCGGCCATGCCACATTTTATCAGCCATAAAGCGTAAAGATAAAATGCATATTCGAAAGTCGAACTTCAGCATCACAGAAATATTCAATACATATTCTGTTTTCGAAGTGAAATTTGTGAAAGATATTCATAGCATTTGGTTACGATGTGTGCATTCGATTGTATTTTTCTTTTTTGTTGGTTTTTATGAAAACGTACTGAATGCCGTTTCACCTTTCAACTGAATTAATCGAATCAATGTGACTGATGGTGTGTTGATAATGGTTTTACAGAAGAAGTATAAGCGGATTAAAAATAGTACAGGTTGGAGAATAAAATGTAAGTGTGAATAAAGTTTTGCCAATGTGTGATATAAAGTACAATTTGATAAGTAAGTTGTTGTTTTTTCTCTCTTTTGAATATGTTTGACCTTAATATGTGATTTATTTGATTATGTCACAATTAAAACCAAATCTTCTCTACATTGATCATTCAGAGCTTTTGGCTGCATTTGATTCACAGTGTTGGAAGGTATTTTATTAAATTGGAAAAGTTCAGAAGCTCATACATGAATATTGGCGATATGTAATCACATTAAGTGGAAAATCCAATGAATATTGTCAACGCGTATTTTGCATTGGTTAGATATGAAAATCAAAAAGGAAGGTGTATGCACCTGAAATAAAGTTGATAACATTTGTCTTTCCTCATTTTATAAGAGAGAATATGTAAGTTTTCATTATTTGATTGTAATATTAGGTTTGGTTCTGTTGAAAGAAAATTCGGAAGGGGAATTATAATAAATGGCTTTTCGGCATTTGTCATTGTGTCTAAATACAACAGATTCCTTATGCTTTTTATCATTTTCTTTGCATGAAAATATCCTATTTTTCCGAGCTTTACAATTTTATATGGTTTTGTTTGTTTGTTTTTGTTTGTAATGCGATTGTAATTAGTATATGATATTCGTGCGTATATCGGTAAAATAATTCACTTAGCACTTGGGATAACAATTCAAAATCGAGAAAAAAATTGACCAAATCTCATTCATCCCATTTGAACATGACTAGATTTGGTTTTGTATTGTTTACAGCATAAAATAAGAAGACATATTTGATTTTCTTATCGATAGTCTACCGATACTATAATACATTCTGGTATTTTTTTTGGTATTGTTTTGTTTTATAGCAGGTTAGAATACATATATGTGTTAAAAATTATAAATATTGTAAGAGAATAGATTAAATACTCACGAAAGTCGTTAAACACTTCCTAAAATTTACACTTGTTATATATTGTTTTGTTCGATTTGATTCTTTTTTCTGTAGAGATTGACTGCCTCTGTGCACATCTATTGTGATGCGATTGTTCCACTGCCAATTGCAATGGCCAATGGATTAGCAATGATACCCAATGAAGTGTTTGCCGAACCAGCTGGTGTCTCCTGCAGAATCGTAAGAAAAAAAACAATACAAGACAAATTTTACTAAATTATTCGGCGAATTTTTTTTTGACAGTAGAATTAGTATTTGAATTTAAATGAAATATTGAAGCATTGATTGTTATTTTCAACAAAAATTTAATTTTTTGTCTTTTAATCCATTTAAGATGTCGAAAAAAATCAAAGAAATTCGAATAATTGCGTAATAAATTTGGTAAGACACGTCTACAAAAAGTGATAAGCGTATAAAAAACAATTGAAATGTGTGTGGCTTTTTTTTGAAAAATCAATAGCGAATATCACTAATACCATTATGTAGTACTTACAATACTTAGTGCTCGCATGATACATGACTGCGATTGATCTGGTGACGGTGAACTGAGCTCTGGCCTCTCGAGCCTTGGAGAGCTATTTGGAGTCGATGCTGATGAACTATGGAATTTCATTTCGGTTGCAGGAAGCGGTGATCCGGAAGACACGTTGTTGAAAATTGAAGTAATTGTTTCAGTTCCATTCATTGTTGTTTTTTGTGGAATCTAGAAGCGTAATAAAAAATTGCACATTTTTTTTAAAATGTCAGTGCATTTATTTTGGTATTATACGGAGCAAGCATGAAATCATTCCATTGAATCGATGTATTACCTTATTCAGTATTGGAGATTGCATTCCATTCTCTTCAAAGTATTCGTTCGATGTTTCGACAGTATTTGCTTTTTCATCAATATTTCCATTCGTCTTGCTGCCTGAACTTTCCCTGTGATCATAACACTCTATCGGACATAATTAATTGGTCAAATAAAGAGATTGCAACATAATTATTGATTGAATTGTTGATTGGACAAAAAATACCCCAGAGAGGAATAATATCCGACAAGCCTAATTTGTAGAAGTTAAATTCACTTTGGAAGAGTTTCTTCAATTCAAAGTTGTGTCATCGAACATTAAATATGGAAAAACTCTAAATCTTGGAGAAAAATCTCTCGATATTTTAACAAAAATTTCAATAATTCGAGGAATTTTTCAAATTATCGAAAATTTTCGAAACATTCAAGTTATTGAACGTTGAATTGAAGAAATATTAATGCATTTAACAAGAAAAACCACTTTTGACGGGCATTATTTCCGATTGTGAGTGTATGTACTTTAAAAATTACCGATTTTATTGCCACCGATTTTGCTTATGATGCCATTGTTTGTATTATTATTATTATTGTTGTTGTTGTTGATGATATTATTATTGTTGTTGTTATTATTATTACTGTTACTATGGTTGTTATTATTGTTAATGTGGTTGTTATTTGTTGCATCAAAACCCAATTCATATATGTTTATCATGTGTGCTGCTTGTACATGCACCATCAAGTCCCACGGACTAATGAAATAGTCTTTGCATAACGCGCATAGCAATTTTGTTGAGGAAGACAATGTCGATTCTGAAATAATTCGTTTTTCAACAATTATTCAAACTATCATTTGGCATATAAATATTGTTGATAATTCAATTAAAGCATTTAGCGAACTCACTTTGAAAATTGTCTTGACATTTGCAAGTAAATCTTAATTTGCAATAAGATCGTTTGTGTTCCAACAAATCGGATAAGTCCGAAAAATATTCGCGACAGTTTCCGCAAATCAATGTATCTGGATTACCTTCAGTAAATCGAAACGAAAGAGAGCGAGAGAGAGAGAGAAACAAAATACTCTTATGAAATTTTGTTGCATTTCAACCATTATTTATCGTTGAAAGTTATCGGTTTCGGTTTCAATTATCGAGAACAGTAAAAAGATTAGCAAAGAGTTAAATGCACTGGGGACAAGAATAAACGGAACATAATATCAAATATATAAGCGATCGCAGATGCAATCCAAATGAATCCATTTGCAAACAAAAATAATAACATGAAGAACTCTAGCTACAGTGTTGATAAAAAAAAAATATTTGAACAAATAGAAAAGTTTAAACGAGTTTTATAAAATATATAGATATCAGGAAAATGTTTAAGCCAATGAAACAAAAAGAAAACACGTTCAAATACGAGGTCTGCCAACTCTGAAATGTAAATCGTAAACCAAGAGCTTTGTAAATATAAATTAAATAAATGCACATGGTTAAGAAACCATGATTGGCCAAAAGGATAACCATAAAACGAAATTTCAACGGATAACACAGGAAATCGAAACAAAGAACAATTCCTTATAGATGTAAACATAAAAATCGTTTACTTTTTTTTATTTCTTCTTTTGTCGTCGTTGTTCGTGTATGTGTTTTTTTTTGTTTTCTCTTCCTGTCCCACTTGCACCACTTCATGGCCAAAGCGTACGAAAACGAATTGGGAGCACAGAAAAAGTGAACAGAATGTAAATAGTATTTCGGTTTCACTTACTATAAACTTTAAATGGTCCTAGCAAATTCGGCTGTCCATTTATGTGATACACTGTTGAAATTTGTTCGCCAATACTCGAAGCAGTGGTGATGCCATTACCGTTACTGCCACCATTGAGTGCTACTGGTGCTACAGCTGATGCAACGCTATTATTTTGTAAACTATTTCCGTTTAATATCGGACTTGTTGGTAAAATTATTTGTTGTTGCGGTAGATTCACTTTATTATTAACAACTAAATTTCCTCGGGCTTGTGGTGTCATTAATCTTTGACGTTTTATTGGTCGTGGAGATGTTGTCGAAAACAATGTTGAGGCACAATAGCTGCATTGAAATTGAGAATGAGAAACAAACATGTGGAATTGAATGAAAGATCCGAAACACAAATATATAACTGTATACAAAATTGTTAAGCAGGAAAATTGTGACGCGACAATGGATTCGGTACGATGGTGCTGCATTTATACTAGTGCAACATATATTCAAATGTGTTTGGTTCGGCTCTGCGACGAGTGCGAATGCATGTAGTTGTGGCCAAAGCTTAAAAACGCAAAAATTCGTAGAGAGAGAGAGAGAGAGAGTGCTAGATGAGACAGACAAAAATAGTCTGGTCTAAAAACCATTTCCAAAAACAAACTCTTATTATGCGTTTTGTGTTCATCTATGTATTGAGATTGGCTATTTGAACTTTTATGCTCCTACTGCACTTGAACTAACCATACACATGAACTGACATCAACTGATGTGTGAACACACCACATAAATGTTGTGTAATTTTGTTTTAAAGGTTCTTCTTTCGGTTTGCATTTGTTCATAACAGCCTTCTTTCCTCTCATCTTAATTAACTGTTTTTCAACATTTTCGATTCGATGGCGTCGGCCCCCATTTTATTTTAGTTTATGAATTTCACTTTCAAGTTTTACAATAAAATCCAACAAAATTAGAAACCCAAACAGGCGATACCTAAAGAATTGTAGGTGCACAATTCGTTGACTGTATGTATATAATCACTGAAAATTGGCAAAAGATAGAGAATGATGGCATTTATGTTTATAAAAGAAACACCTGAATGACTGAACTTCTTTTTGATATTATTGTTTTGTATTGCGCTTCAAAACATGCACACACCACTAAAAATATGTAACGGCAAATTCGATCGAAAAGGAAACGAAGAGTGTAACATTTTCCGCGTGAAAATCAATCAATCGGACAGATGATGGTGAATTGCGCAAATTGCGCTAAACGTGCATGTAATGCAACACGTCGCTTCTGAATCATCTGTCGCTTGGTATTAAAATCGAAAAATGCGATTGATGGCATTATCATAAGCATATTGTCACACCCTCATAGGTGTCTCCATTTGATGGAATCTGTTTGCTCTGGCACTTCGTTCAACAACAAAAACAAAAAAAATTGTCGTACACGCAACAGGGCGACATACGCACGCTCTCGCATACACGAAATGAATTTTAATTCATGTCATTGAATCTGATACCTCGCCGAACATATGTCAGGGATGAATTCACATTCATATTTATGTGCTCATCATTTTAAATTGCGAAAATCAAAATTGTACACATAATAAATTTTGATGTGAATTGTGCGTATGCGAAACGCACACCCAAACCCGCGTCAATCCACACGCCAATGGATTGTCTATCACTGGCACAATTTTTTTTTGTTGCCAGCAATTCATCTAGAACTCTTCGTTTATACCGGACATTTGTTGAGATTTTTTTTTCACTTGATTATTAATATTTAAATGGAAAATGGAATTTAAATCTACAAACGTTCATGAATAATTGTATTAAATCAAATTACATTAAGTTAATCTGTGAAAATGCCATAAACTTGACAACGACTAATGCTATTACAATTGCACGTTGCAGCCAACCATTGTGTCCTTTGTCTGTCCATCTTTTTTTCCGGCTATACATATAATTTTATACTCTCGTTTTCGTCGATCAATATCTTACGCCATGCAAATGTGCATTGGTTTTTGGTAACTTCAGCATATGCACTCAATTCTACTTAGAATTTATGATTGAAAATGTCAATCTCTAATCTTGATGATGTTTGATACGCGTGTTGTTGTTTTTTTTTCTTATCAAATGCACATGTACTTATTTACATGTTGTAATAAGTTATGAATCACAACAAAAATCGATATATGTTTGGATTTAACTTACCTGTCATAATAATAATCCCAATCATTTCCAGTTTTGGTGATATTCTGTCGCTTTCGACCGATTTGGTGTGGTTTTGGTTCGGCTACCATATTCACATCTAGAAATAATGAACAAACAAATACTGACTTAGTCACAAGTTTCAAGGTTTCATCCAAAATTCTCTGACACTTCAAATGAGTATAGAAAGTATCCATAAATTTGAATGCGGTTTTTTCTTAATTTGTTTTCTTTTTTATTCAGTTCAAACTCAAAGCGCAAAAAGATTTTTTTCAAATTGTAGATTGAATCAGCTCTCATGCAATTTGTTTCAGCCGAGAAGCCCCCCTTTTTCACCACTCTGAGTACAAGACTTTCCTTATCGCAATGCCAGAGTATTCGCTGCGTTTTTTTTTCTTTTGATGTTTCACATCAAATCAAACACTTTTATAAGGGACAACATTGTTTCTTCCAACTTTCCAAACGGCGAGAAATAACAAAAAGTGCATAAATATTTATTTGCAATAAAAAAAGGGTTAATTTGTAGTTACGTACTGGTACGGCTTGGATATTTATTTGGATTGAGTTGAGTCTAAAACCAACAAAGGAATGATCGCAGCAATTGAAACAAAAAAAAAAACAATAAAAACAACTTATAGCAAAACATTTTTTTTTTTGCGGCGAAGTTCCTTCAAAATATGTGAACTTTAAAAAGTTTTTTACCATAACAATTATCGGTTGAAAATTTATCAAGCATGACGTTCACGTCAATGAACAAAAAAGGTTTTTGAACATTGCTTTGATATACATACTTAAATTGCTTTCGATGATTTCATTTTTCATTTTCATAATGAAGAATCACAATTGCCATATTCAAAATAGAAAATGTTTTCATTTCTTTTACTCAAAAAATAATGCATTTAATGCAATGTTCGTCTGAACGTTTTATTTCACAATGTGTCTCCTCATTTTGCGTGTTAAATATATCCAAGGGGTAATGGAAGGTGGTAAATCCAAGGGGTTAATTGCTATTGAAGATTAGTTTTCAATGCAGTTTAAAATGTTTTGTTGGATTTCACAAGTATTCTATTGATATTGAGATGGTTTAAAAAAAGAAATTTGGTGTGATTTCTATCATGGCATTTACTCGAATTTATATATCGGGATTCATGGCATACAAAATACATTGTTGATTTGTAAAATGTATTAAAGTCGAAATATGTTTGTTCATGTTTTCGATAGTAATTTCCCCCTTGTGTTAATCTTATCCTATTAGTGAGCTTTAAAATTATTTGTGTTTTCATCGGTTTCGGTTTTTATTTTGATTGGAAAGAGAAAACAAAAATGAAATAAAACAATGAGCAACGCGGCTAAGAAACAATTGCGGAATCGTGAATAAGACTTAGTATAGAATCGGGCACAAAATTGTGCATATTGCAAATGGTTTGAAGCGAACGATGAAAATGTTGTAATGAAGTTTTTCGAACTTTTTTTTTCCCGTCCATGCAGAAATTTTATTGCCTGCAATGCAACGGTGAGAAAATTACATGTAAGGCGTACAATGGTTAAATACGATTGTCATTAAACGAATATGGTGTACTTGATGTCGGAAACTCTATACATTTCATTCGTTTCGTTTAGCTTCCGTTTCGATATGTATGTTTCGGGCCATTTCAGATTTTAAGACGTACAGTCAATACTCAAACGCATAAGTATGGATGTCTGGAGCATATTGAAACCGAAGCGAGAAAAAAAACCACGAATTATATTGCATGGGGTTTGTGAATCGTTCATTTGTTTGTTGTGAAGAGTGGATGGAGATGGCAGCGAAACTAAGAGTGTCGCCTGTCGAGATAAGATATGCCGACGGACGAAGCTGAAATGACAAGAGTCAATATATATATATATATATTCAAGCTGTCGCACTCCAAGGTTTCACCACAATCAAATGAATTTTCTGCGTAACAATACTGACTCACCACTATGCTACACAAAAAGTGCTCCTTTTATGCTAAAATCCATTCGCCGTTTGATTGTTTTCAATCAACTGGATTTGTTGCTCGTTCACTTGAATATTCACCATTTTTGTTGTCTTCCCCTTCGAACAACACGAAAAAAAACAGCAACAAAAAGACCGCTACCGTTGATAATGACAAACACCGGAAATGTATAGCTTTTATGTTTAATGCAATCGTCTTGAAATATTAATACAAACGATGCCAAAAAATATGCCTGCGTTTTGCATATCGTGCTATTAAAACACTTGAAACCAAAGTGAAACGAGAATGAGGCGAATTTCTTTATGGTCACACAACCAAAATATATTTTACATCGTAAACAATTAAATGCTTTCATTAGGACGACGTATATACTCTTTCAAAATTATTTGCGAACAAGGATTTTATTTGGCCGTTGAGCTGTTATCGCGATTTCGTTGACAACATTTTTTAAAGTTTCATTAACGGTTGCGGTGGTCCGGGATATCATATATTTAAAATTCAATATCAAGTATTTAACGGGGAACAATTGTTCAATTTTGTAAGCAATATTAAATCACAAAAGATCGAAAATTATATTTTCCATTTTAAACTAGAATGAAATGTACATTTCAAAATGGTATAAACATTGTCACATCGATCATATTGTCAAGTGCATAAATTATGCTCATTTATATGAAAACATTGGGCTGATTTCTCATATATATACTTGACATGCATTCGATTATTAGCTAGCAATCATTAAAAATCAATTTCAATCAAACTTTTCCACTGACAATAGCCTAGTGAAATTGAATACAGGGATTTTACCTCTGTGGAGGGGGAACGGCGAGGGGGAAAACAGCCGGTGTATATTTGTATGAGATTGGAGACTTTTTTTTGCGAATCTCGCTAATGAGCGCCATCTGATTTTAGTGTGAATTAGATGCAAAAACTGAATTTAATTCTGTAGCATTGAAATGAAAAAGTGAAAAAACAACAACAATAGCACGGCCACACAGAGCTGTACATCTATGCGTGCTGATGCATACATACACATATACGCTTTCTTCATTCTTTCATTCCATTGCTATACGTATCTCACTGGTCAACAGATCTATGTAGCCATGTTACTGTTGTTGTTTTTTTTCTCTTTTTCGATTCAATTCATTGTAACTAAATTGAGTTCAACTATGGAATACAAGATGGCACAGATGAGGGGAATTCGCATTTTGTCTCTTCATAGGCTTAGCCGGTTGGGGGAAAATGAGGATCCTTCCACTCAAGGGAGGAGGAAATGTTTTTTTTTTTGGTCAAAAGGCGATTTTTATTACAAAAATATATTTTTTGGTTAAAAATATTTTCCTCCTCACTTCAGGAGAAGGATCCTTCTCACCGTTTCTCCCCATCAAAGGAACAATACCTGATATATAACGATGCGAATTTTTCTCATTAATCTTTTTCGCATTGGGTTTTATTTAAAATGACAAAACACATTGCAAAGATTACCCGAGTGGAAAAAAAGTGACTAAGTTACTATTGACTGTAAGTGACTATAGTTAGCTATATTCATGAATTTTAAAATTTTGTATGGAAAACAATCAACTATAGTTACTCAGTCAGTCAGGCGATTATTTTGGGACGTTTTGACTATCGGGTGACTATGATTAATGTCAACTATAGTTAGCTGTTGCAGTTAACCATAGCTTACTTTAATTTTTCGAAGTTAAATAAATTTAACTAAGGTTGCTTGTTTTTATAGTCAACAGTCAGTCAGTTTGTCCCAAAATAGTCAGTCACTTTTTTTGTACACGGGTATGCGATTTATGATGATAAAATATTGTTAAAAGTCTTTAAAAAAAACTATGCACTTACCTAACACTTGGCTAAGAATCGTTCTTCCATCTTCCCCGTGACAAGCGTTGCGGGCATCAAATGGATTTGTAAATTGAACGAAAGCATATCCTTTGTGCATTGAAATTCCTGTTAAAGATTTAAACAAGAGATGTTTGCTACAATACTTGAAAAAAATGAATAGGTGGGTATTAATGAATTTTTGCATTTGAGCAAAAGATGAAGATTTTTAATTTTTACTTGTTTCTCTTGAGTAGGAAATGTCTATGTCTTTTACACCATGTTAGAATTTAATCATTTACTGGTATATATCCACATTAATCTATAAATATGCGAAATGTTCTCAGCTTGTTTATTTGTGCGACGATTGCAAGTGTATATGGTCAAACAATTCCGCAAGAATTTCTTATTTACATCACTCAAAATACACATATGTAACAATTAAGAAAAAAAAAACGATTGCAATACATATATGACATGTACAAAGTACATATATAAAGGAAAGTGGTCACTAATATACGAAAACACATCCTGATGTATACCGCTCTCTGGCAAATAAAATTCAAGAACAAAATTGTTGGCGCGGAAGCAGCGAATGTGAATGTGTTATAATGGCCGCAGTTGAATGTCGATAGAATATATCGTAGAGACAGAGATAGTGAAAATTCGAAATAATTGAGCAATACGTCAACATAAATTCGCATGTAGTAAAAATACGATGGCATTATTTATCTCTGCATTGGAATTCATCGTACGATTGAATGCCATATGCATGTATGTGTGTATGTGGATATTCATTGCATCATAAATGTTTAAATAATTTATCAGCACCGTAACGACTAGTAAGACTGTTATTTCGATAAATAAAAGTTCATATTGTGCATTGTACCTCACATTGTACAATTTGCCATGTGCAATGAGCCTATGCTATTATTGTTTGAACTGTACACCGATTGAACAATTGCTCTTTTTTTACTCATCACGCATTAAAGGGCACAATTTTGTTGGACACTGGATCGATATATTACGGCTGCATTCAAAAAGAATGAAATAATGATTTGACAACGAATTGAGCTAGTGTTCCATTCAAATGCTATTTTTCAGTTTAGTCGAAGCATATTCTATCGTTTGAGATTATTTAAATAGAAATCAATCTTCATTTGCTATAATCAACTATTCCCGATCTCTCTCTCGATATCTCCTTCAAATCTATTTTAATTACCAGCTCTTTGTAGAGCAACCATTATTCAATTCAAAATTATTGTCCGGTATTTGTACTACTTGCGATCCAATCTACGACATTGAATGGAATATCATCAAAAATCGTCGTAAAAAAATTGTCGGAATTTCAAATGTCCATTAAATTACTTTGTGTTAAATCTTTCGCTGCTTCTCAAAATAAAAATGCAATAAACATAAATTAATGGAAAAAAACGAGAATTACCTGCTAAACGACCGTATTTTTGAAACATTCGTTCCACATCTGTTTTCGAACATTGAAATGTGTTTAAATTCCCAACAAACACTCTTGAATTCACCGCCTGCGGATCCTGTGAATTCGTCTGATTCGATAATTTTGACATTTTCATCTTGAATCGGTCTTGATTGTATTTACTCGCACCCGTTAAGATTGATCTCTTTTATGAGATCACAACAATTATAAAACTGGATTTTTCTCAGATATTTTTTTCTCCCTTGAATTTCACTCAAAATTTTAACTTGTTTTCGTCATCAATTTATGTAGCAAATGTTTTTCTGAAATATAAGCAAATACAGTACATAAATTAGGGATCAATCAAAATAAAACTTGACTGAGACACTTTTCAGAGGATTTGTACAATTTTTCGTTACAAATAATAAAAATTAAAAAGAAAAACGTCACACCAATGTTTCTAAACTTTTGCCATTGAATATATTTTATTTAGCATCATTTATTAGAATTATTTCTTAGTTTTGCAGATCAGCTGACAGATTTGTTATTCAGTCGTAATTCAAATGTTTCTTTTTTCTTTTTAGTTCAGTTGTGTTTTGAGTTATGGATTCAAAATAATGGCTTTTCTTTCATTCAAATCACACCGCAAAATGAATGAAAAACTGAAAATATTGTAAAATTCGAAGGAAAAATAGACAGTGAACAGAAAATATGATGTGATTGTGTCGAAAGAATATTATTACACATTATTAAAATTAAAATCGTTACGAATATGAATGATGAATCATATTTGCTTGTGTGTTTTTGTTCAAATCGGCATATGTTAAATGAACATGTGAATTTGTAAACGCATTTATTTACTGTCATTTTTGTCTCTGACATGGAATAGATGCATTTAGAAGAGTTACTTCATCGTAACTATACGAATTTCGAATGTGAATATTTTACAAACAATTAAGCGATGGTATTTTTAATTTTTGTTTTTCTCTTGATTCAGTTCAGCAGCCAAAAATATTCAAATAAAAATGAAGAAAAAAATACCTTTTTGCACAGGGTGTAAACAGTGCCATAATTGTCATATCAACCATTTTACATTCGATATTTTGTCGAAAAACAATCAAATCAAAAGAGAACATGTTTTCGCCAAATTGTGCAAATGATGCGCCCTATGAAAGTGAATGTCAAAATCAAGTGATACTATTTTTAGTAATGTTACGCGATATTTCAACAACATTTTTGAGCTTCCCACGATCATATTGAATGTATCATCTACATCATAATCATCATCATAAAATGCGAATGCATTTCAATGAGGACAGAATTAAATGAAATAGTTGCACTAGCGAAACCCATATAAACATCAAAATCTTAATCACATTTCTGCACATAGTTTTTTTTTTCAGTTGCTCGAGCAAACCTTCATTTTTGAACGTTACAGTTCTTCAATAAATCAAAATTCCGAATTAACCAGTATCAAAACCACTGCACTCTTCACTTGATTAAAATTAATAAAAAGAAGAACAAACGCGCAAACATAAAAAGTTGGCTAAAAAGCTTTTCTTTGTTTGTCTATTGTTTGAATGGACCAGGTCATACCAATTCACATCGATAAAAACATCCAACAAATTGAGAATGCAAACGAAACGATAAAACATGTACGAATATAATGGATTCAATATTATATATGTGATTTTTTTTTCTGGCATCATCGTCGGTAGAACAATATTTATGCCGTATTTACATATAATGATTTCGATATCGGATGCAAACGTACTCAATTTTGGTCGAACATTTCGTACGCAAGCATTGTTTGTTAATCTGTTTATTTGCGCTCGTTGGTCGAATTCGAAAATTTAATTTTCAAGTATTGGGATTCATTTGTTGCATAATATCGCTTCAAAAGGATAGTCTTGTTGCATTCTTCGACATGGTGTACGAAATGAAAATATACGAACATATGCATATTCTCAACATCGCAATCGCACTAATCAAAACAGATCGTTCACTTTCTTTGATGTTATTTGTAAATATTTAGTCGGATTTCGATGTTGATTTGAATGCGATTTTCTCTTTGATTTTTTGTAATGAGGTGCTACGTCGAAATTGAATTAGTCGTAAAGATCAGTGACGTTATCATTAACGCAATTTATTAATGAGTCCATTTCAACTGTTTGCCTGCCTTCGAAATTTGGCATTTATATATTTTTTTTCTGATCGCTGTTTATGCAAATTATTTTAAGATTTCCGGTTAAAATGTTTTGGAACAAAGACTTATTCTGTTTCATTCCAAATTAAATTTGATACAACATTTCTCTGGCAAAAATTGGAATTCGGAGTATTTATTTAAAAAGCCAAGCAGAACTCAGAAAATGGGCTTAACTTCTGCGTAAGCTTTGTGGCCATTTCATGAACAATTTTCAATATATTCATTTTTCACATTCGAAAAAACTGTGGAGCAGGAGCCTATTAGTCTGATGTATCGGTGATAAAGTGCTATTGTTTGTGGATGTGATTCTTCAATTGTATATTTTAAATGAAACGAAAACAGAAAAGGTGCATTACACTTAGAGCTGTAAATGATGTTTCAAGATTTCATTCAAAGTTTCAAGTAATTTGAAGAAAACATGTCTAAAAGCATTTTGTGTTTGATATTTTTCGATTCGATCGCAAAAATAAGATACACACACATCTACAAATTTGAGTTAACACGAGTCAATCTTGTGGTGTCCGAGTTTAGCTATGCTTTAGTTCATCATAAATCTAATTCAGACTCACAAATTAATTCGATTAGCATCAGTCAGACGTATAAGCGACGCTACTACAACCGCCCTGAAGTATTATCTCTTAAATGTTGCGGCTTTGTCTACAATACTTCATTGGATTTTCTTCCATTGTTCTGCCACTTGTCACATTGGCAATATTGGTAAAATGCATTCCCCAACCACTCTTCTCATTGCTATGCTTGTATCTATTTCGTACAAATTGATGCATGTGAATGAACTCATCCACCAACATGGTACAGTGTTTTCCATTGATTTGTAATTAGTGTTGCATTTAATTCAATTACTAACACCCATTGCGAAGCGTTTGCTAAATTACTGTACATTGATAGTGGTATATATTGGTATTAAACGACTTGTTTATCGCATAAACACTTTCATGTGTACAAAGTCTAGGCACACGCTAAAAAATGGTGATATCTCCAAATATAGCTTTTGATTCGAATATGATGTTACTTTCTTCGACGAAAAAATAAAAACTATCACAAAACTGTGAAAGTTTCTCATTTAGAGTGGAACGGACAATATATTCACTTAAATATACATATATTTTAAAAACATTTTGATATTTGGTAAAACGGTGAGAGCGGAAGTTACAATTAGCGTTCCGATCAAACTTATTTTCGGTGGTACGCTTTTTAATGTATTTCATTTTATAAGTGTTCTTTGTGTTTTTTCTGGATAAAATCAAATTTTCACATATTTTGACCGTGAAAATATTATTATTGGTGGCATTCTTGTTGTTTTGAATCGATTGTGGAGAGCTGAAGATTGACAAAGTCGGTTGCCTTTCTATATTTCGCGAATATAATGAATATTTTTTCAAATTCAACCATTTTTTTGTCGCTTTCAAAGACCAAATTCCAAAATGATCATTCGAAAAATTTAAGTACTGAATAAATTTCTTGAATAAATTGTGTTCAATTGGCATCAAAGTTAAGTTGATAATGAAGATGTTGTGTGTGTGTGTTTTTTTTTTGTTATTTTCAACAACAAAACAAAAAACATTTGTAAATTCTCTGGGGCGCGCCAAAAGAAAACCGCATGTGATTCCCGATTTGTTTGTAATATATAATTACAACACCAAATTAAAGTTAATGCGATAATAATTGCATATATCAGAAAGGCATTAAAATGTCTGCGTCTGTAGTGTGTGGTGTTTAAGCGGCAAACGTGGTTGTGGTTTTGTTGATGAAATTGTTGCGGGTGCTAGTTTTTAGTCTAGTTTGAGTTTCACGGCGATTTCATACGCTTCAGGTCTCATATGAGATTGCTATTATTGTACATTTTTGCCCGTTAAAAAAGTTATAAAAGTTTATGATTTTTCTATTTTTAATGCTTAAATACAAAACGGAACGGCCAATATTAGTTGAATACGCAAAATGTACCGAAAAGCATTAAACGAAAAAGAAATTTTCGAATGCCGTCGCAAAAAGATTAAACTGTTCAAATCTATTCCGTTTTATAGAGAAAGTGTGCAAATGTATTGGGTTCTCTTTCGCTATTTGGAACGAACCAAAAAAAAAAAACTTTTCCATTTTCTTGTTATCTGAAGAACAATATCGTTTTGCAGGACGAGTAAAGAAAATATGCCTTTATGATATCCTTATGTGCAATATACATTTTAGTGGTTACTGAGCTTTTAAATGGATTTTCCTGTATGAAAGAACATTATGATACGTGTATGTGGCATATGCATGTCCATGTCCATGTGTGTGCATGTACATTGTCGAGGTAGTAAGCGCACTTTTTCAGATTGCATCGTCTCACATTGAGTTTTTATAGAACATCAGCACCAACTTAATGAAAGCACTCCATATGATTTCGTTCCATGCTCATGTTCTCTCTATACATATACATATATATGTGTGTGTATGTGTGTTTTGTATGGTTCATTGTTTGTACATTTGCCGGTAATAAAAAAGCGTAAATTCAATTTCCGCTTCAAGATTTTATATGTGAAATTAGATGTTAATTTGTAATGTGGAAATTTAATAAAGTACCATCCAATTTTAAAGTAAAAGCGAAGATGAAAGTGGCGATCATTATAACTGTACAACAAAAATGTCTAGGAACAATTTTAATGAAATTTATGTAAAATTCCACAATAATTATTCGGTATTTACGCTTGAAAACAACCAATCGAAATGCATTTAAATCGTGATTGCATTGCTCCAAATAGGGTTTAGAAACAAGCAATAAGAGCAATTATCGATCTATTCACCATGAAAATTCATCATTTATTAATATCGATAAATATATATATAGAGAGAGTGAGAGAGTCTAAATAGACGCACAGAGATTCGAATGTAAATAGGTTTTGTAATGTCGACGTGTGTACAAATTCACAGTTCAACGCTCAGTTAACAAATAAATAAGCATAAGTACTATTTAAATTTCGTACCTCCAGAATTATTTCGGGTATTTTTTTTAGGGGAACATTTGGGATTTACGGATTATCATATGTAAGCTATCAAAATAGTATATGTATATATTATTCTCGTTTCTTTAACGTTCCTTATATTTCTTCTTGCAAATGTTTTCACGAATGTCATATGATTATTTCGTAACACAAGAATGAAAGAAACACAATTTAAACAACTTTTCAGTTTATTTTAATGGCTTACAAAAATGAAACTTTTCTCGTTTCCTCTTTTACCAATGCAATTTTTGAATTGGCTTCGTTCTTTTTTCTTTCTGCATACGTTTCAATTCTCAGCGAAAAAAAAAATTGAATAGAAGATGAACATTTACACTTCTGATTTGCACAAAAAAAAATTATTTTGTTTTTCTTTTTTGTTATACGTTACACGATACACGGCAAGTTAAACGTTATAAATTTACACAAACTGAATCGAAAATCTTAAGCACAGCAACATTTGCTCGTTTTGAATTTATTCACACATCATAAACGCCGAAAAGATCATAAATTAATTGTTCATCTCACTAGAAAATATGTCATGCACATTAGGAGGACTTAAAACCACGATTTAAATAAACATGTATGTAACGTATGTAGGTGCGTGTGCAGAAAATACTTTTAATACGGAATTTTAAGAATATTTCTTGGTTTTTCTTTGTTTGTTTGTTTTTTTTTTTTTTTGATTTCAAATTCCGTCGATTTAGCGGGGGAAAATGTTAAGAAAGAACAACCTTTTTTATGAATTTTGTGCTGATATTTTGCTTTTTACATTTCGATCAAACCAATATCATCTGAACTATTCGAAATTTTTATTAGCGAAATAGTACGTTTAGCGATACAAATGAGCACGATACGAAAATTGTACGTCCGTTCACTTAAAGCGCAGTTCATCAACTGATTTTCTCCGCTTTGGTTTGTTTTCATTTTGTCCGTATTATTCATTACATTTACCGTAATATTAGCAAATGTTCTGAACGCTATACTGCTTACTCTACTCACACAACAACAAATGTGTATATACGTTTGCCGTTGAAATGCACTGAATGCATGACTTTGCTATGCTCACACATACACGGGCATGCACACATACACACACACACACACACACACTCGCGTAAACATACTCAAGCATAGTCGTTCGAACAACATCAAGAGTGCCGGTACATTTTCCACGCAAATCCAATCCTATGGAGAATGAACAAGTAGTAAGTGTTTTTACCATGCATTTTTCCGACTGCCACAATGAAACATCACAATAATATACGTTTCGGTGACACAGCAACAGCACCGATTGCATTGTGATTCATGCAATCAATTTCGTGTACGCGGGCATATTCTGTGTTGATAGATTTGTTTTGAAAATTCAGTTGTATATAAGTTGTTCAATGTTTTATGCAATTGAACAACCATGCATTATTTATGTTTTATATCTTCTTCTTTCTCGTTCCATATCTCATATCCAAATCTTTGGGATAAAAAAAAAACCAAAAAACAAAAATACAATAATAGAAACACCAACAACAAAAACAATTTAGTGAAAATAAAACATAAGCTATTCTCATTCCACTGATGGAATAATAAGTTCAAAACTCCTGCCCTTTACATTGAAGTGACGAATAGATTGCATATGGTTTGATGGTAGATAAAAGAGGTATTTTTGGACAAAAATATTTTCTATACGATCATCAGCATATAATTGTTTATTCAAGTATTAGGAAATCAGATATACGCGTCGAATGAAATAAAATCAATGAAAATAACCATCCATATCAGCCATGGATTTCAACGGTTTTAGTATTAGATGGTATTATGATTATTTGATATGAGTGTATTTCCGCTTTTCTTACATTTGGTAGATATAGAGTTACGTTCGCATCAAACGATCTTCTAAATGGAGAAATTGAAAATATGATTATTTAAAATTTACTCAACAAATATCTACTTTGATACTTGAAAGCTGAAGTACCAAAAATGCTCTCAAACCGCATGCTTAAACATTTAAAACAGAGACAATATAAATCGAAAACCGTCGGAAACAATAATATTGTCGGACAATTGAATCATGACAGGATAGAAAAAAAAGGCTCATACACCGCACACTATATGGATCCAGTGAAAAATGGCAATAACACATTATAAAAAATAAATGCACAACCGCACAATGCAATACAAGCTTTGCACGAATTATACTCACTTAGCACATTTATTTGAGTGGATGAATAAAATCATACCAACGAGAGAGAGAAAAACCATCTACGTATATCATGCAGATAAAAAAAAGTAAGCACATGAATGAGCTGATATCAATGAATGCGAAAGCGAGCATTACAATTCTTGGTATAATATTTTTGCATTTTTTTTGTCTTTTAACTGATGTTTGGTACATAAAAGTGATAAATGCGAATTGTTGTTGACCCAAATAGTTGTGTGCAAATTCGTGTTGGACGTTGGAAATGTATTTCTGATAGAGGTAAATTCCTGCATCCATTCTTCGAGAGATCAGATCAGTGTGAATGTCGGTATCAAATCTTCAGTCAGTCTATGTTTCCAAAATTACCGGCCGGCCAGTGTCTCAACGCTGATATTTTGAATTTGAACTCGAAAAAAATCTGTATAAAAGTTATTTTTTATCATGTTTTACAATCAAGTTGACAATGATTTCACTCATTCATGAACTGAACAATCGAGCATAAAAAAATCTTCAACGCAACATTCTTTGAAACATATAAATTTGTCGGTTACAAAGGACCATACAGAGTGAGAGTAGTATATTAAAAGGCGGAAAAACGACCGACAAATATTAATTGCAGCGGGCCTTTCATAATTTATGGCGTAAACTGCATTAAAATTGGAATAAAACCATTCGTTTAATGGATTTAAATGTCGGTTAATCAATTGTGTGGCGATTCATGTGCATTTCATTTTTTCAAGTAACATCACTTTTGTTCTGTAAATATAAATACTTTGCACCCGATTCGCTAATTCTTGTCATAGATGAATGCAATTTATTTGGAATCTCAGGTAATTTATTGTTAAAAAAAAAAAATGTCGTGCCTTATGAGCTTTGCGACATTAGAACCATTAATTGAATTCACGATACACGAGTTGTTTACTACATGTCGTTCAATCAATTTACACAATAAAATAAATGCAAACCTTTCAACGCATTCTACAAGAAATGACACTGTCGCATATTTTAAAACTGAAAATATCATGTGCGTAAAATGTTGCATTATTTGAATTCAATATTTGTGTCAAATTCAGTGTATTTTTTGTTGTATTCATGCATTGCAACTCTCAACGTTTGGAAATATTTGAATTATCCTTATTTTGTTTAATCACTTGCACATTGGTCCAAGACACTTGCTGAAAGTTAATTAAAACTTGAATGAGCCAGTAAATATGATTTGACTAAAGACTCAACCGATATTATTACCATATTTTATTTCCGAATAATGGACAAAAAACAAGTGGACCACATTATAGGATTGACAGACTGGTTTAATTTTAGCCTGACGCAATTTTAATAAATTGTCTGCAAACAGTGAGTTCATGTCAGCGAGTGAATTTGTGGTCGATCAAATGCCAAAGTAAACCAAAATTATGCGAAAATTTCAAATGAATATGATAAACACTATTTATCATTTGCAACGACTACTCAACCAAATATTTGCTCGCAAATATTTCCGCTGTGTGTCTGTTTTTTTTTGAAATACGAATAAGGTGCATGTTCATATTTAAAGAATATTTTCTTCTAATTTTGGCAAGTATCTCATTAAATGCAAACTCACAACATGTGATGAGAGAGAAATACGAAAATAAAAACAAAATACAATGAGCGGGAGCGCTACAAATAAATGTTCTGCATTTCTCTTCTTGAAATTCGTCGTGCAAATGCTGATTTTAATGAAATGCTTGATTTCGTATGAATTTTCGATGTTAAAGATATGCGTGTAGATCATAGATGTATCGACCACACTAATTTACCTGATGTTTTTTTGGATGGTCGCCAATTTTTCGTTTTGGCGCACGAATACGAACAGGATGTATAACGATGTAGAAAATGTGAAATCACTCATCTGATTTGAGTTCTGACATCAAACTAAATAAGACGGCGAAAATCGAAATTAGAATCTAGAATATGATTTTTCATTTTGTAATGTTATGAACAAAAAATGAGCATAATCAGCAAACTATTGTAAAATCAATAAAACTATACTACAATTTGTATTCAGCCTTTGTATTGCAACTCAAAAAAAATTCTGAGTCAAAACCCTTTTATTTATCATATTTTTGATTTAATCTGTTGATTGTAAACTCTTTTTTTTCTTCAATTTTTAATTTTTGAAAATTTTTAAAAAATAGCACATTTTACGTTCGAATTCTTGATAGCAGTTGCTTGATGTTGAACGTGATGGAAGAAACTCATAAATTAAATTTATTTCACGACCAATTTGGACATAATCTAATTTTCATTTTGAACAAATACTTTTGGTGTGAGTGTTTTTTCTTTTTAAATATATATATTTCCGCTATAGTTTCGTCAGGAGTGTCTTCACGGATGTCTCATAAAAGCACAAAAACCCAGCGATGTGTTTTGTTGTAGTGAATTCGCCTAGGGGAAATGAACTAGTTTTCTATAAAAGTTGCAAAATATCGCATAATTCGTGACGTTTTGATTGAGATCCGATCCTCTGGGAATTCGCCCATTACAAGCATATGTTTGAAACTGTTTACGATTAATGAAACTGTTGACGAGCATCGACTCAGTCAGCGTCTTCGGTATTGTTTGTAAAATTTATTTTACAATCTTTTATACGGTCCACATTCAAGGCGATAGTTATTGAAGCTCAAACTCTAGTCAATGAGAAACGGAATGCCCCAACTATGTCCCTTTTTTTGTAATAGATTGCCAACTTGTGCAAATGTCTGCATACTTACTGAATTACTTTCTGATACACTCTATTAACTCAAAGGACCTTATCAGATCCACTTACGCATTTTCATTTGGCTAAACAAAATGGAAAACTTGTTGAACATTTTTCTTATTCGTGCTCCTTCGGAATACACTTATCGAACGATGTTTGCACAATGTACCGTGGTACGTGTTCCTTTGGCCAAGATTCTAGAGTTTCAAGTTGGCAGTCATCGTTATTCAAATTGTTCCGTTGCATTCTCGTTTTTTTTTCTTCATCTTCTTCCTGATGCGTAGCAAGTTTTTCACTTAAAACATTAAATCATTTACTACGTGATACGATGATAAGCGATTAAACCTACATCACAACAGTTAAATGTATAGAAATTCGTTCAACTTTGTGTCGCTGTGCCTTCATTACATAAATGTATTTCTCGCTTATTATTCTGGTGTGTTTTATTCACGAAGTGATGTGAGACAAGTGATTGTCTACTTCTGTTTCAAAGTGGATACGTATATAGATATTGGTATTGCGTACCGATGTGAGTGAGTCACTGAGTGAATCTGTTGTGTGTGTGTGCGCTACTACGTACATTGACACTGTTGTATTGTGGATGCATTTTCTATTAAAATGAATGATGAAAATCATAGACGACGGCGGTGACTAACGGCAGCATCACCCAAAGACAGCGATGACGATATGTACGAAAATCTGGAGCATGCAAATATTTCAAATATGTGTGCAACTGCAAGAGCATATCGAAACAA